GGACATTTTGATATTCCTAAATTGTGTATGAGAGTTCCATGGCTCCTCTTCCTCATCAAGACTTGTGGTTAGTTTTCTTAATTTTAGCATCTGCAGCAGGAGCATGCTGACACTGTTTTTTAATTTTCATTTGAATTTCCTTGATAACTAATGATTTGCTTTTTTGCCATGAGGTATCTATTCAAATATTTGCTCCATATTTAAATGGGGTATTTTTCTCATTACTATTGGGGTGTGTGTGTGTGTGTGTGTCATTACTATTGGTGTGTGTGTGTCATTACTATTGGGGTGTGTGTGTGTGTGTGTGTGCTGGAACAGAGGCTTGAACTCAGGGTTTCTCACTCTGGCTCAGCCTTTTTGCTCAAGGCTAGCACCTTACCACTTAAGCCACACCTCCACTTCAGGCTTTTTGGTGGTAAACTGAAGATAAGAGTCTCACAGACTTTCCTGCCCTAGCTAGCTTCAAATACAACACTCAGATCTCAGCCTCTAGAGCAGCTAGGATTACAGGTGTGAGCCACAGGCACCTGGCAAAGTTTTTAACTAAAAATTCAATTACTTTAATAGATACTCAAGTTATGGAGGGAATTTTGGTAGTACCTTTGAAGGCATTTGTTAATTTGATCTAAATTGTGCAGTTTACTGACATAAAATCTGTTTATAGTGCACTCTGACTATCCTTTTTGAATGTCTGCATCCTCGCTCATTCCTAATATTGGGAATTTGTGACCTGACTTTCCCCTCCCCTTCTCCCCTTGGTCATTCTGTCTTGAAGTTTATAGATTTTATTGTACTTTTTTTTTCTTCAAAAATCCAGCTTTCTGCTTTGTTGATTTTCTTCTATTATTTTTGTTTTCTACTTTCCCTTTTTTTTTTTTTTTTGCCAGCCCTGAGTCTTGAAATCAGGGCCTGAGCTCTATCCCTGCGCCTCTGTGTCCTCAAGGCTAGCACTCTACCACTTAAGCCACAACAGCAATTCCAGCTTTTCCTGTTTATGTGGTACTGAGGAATATAACCAGGGGCTTCATGCATGCTAGGCAAGCACTCTACCACTGAGCCCTATTCCCAAATTTCATTGATTTCTTTATATAATTTTCTTCTCTCTGCTTTCTTTGGTTCAATTTAATCTTCAAGTTTAAGGTGGAAATTCGGGACTTTTGTTTGCAGTTTTCCTTTCTAATTGTATTTAATATAATGAGTTTTCATTTAAAAAAATTCTTAGGAAGTGATGCTGTGGCTCAACTGGTAGAGTGCTCACCTTGAGCTGAAGAGCTGAGGGATGGCGTGCACCCAGGTCCAGAGTTCAAGCTCCACAACCAACAAAAAAAAAAAAGAGAATCTTGGGCTGGGAAGGTGGCTCACGGGCTGGGAAGGTAGCTCAGTGGTAGAGCACTTGCCTTGCATGCATGAGGCCCTGGGTTCGATTCCTCAGCACCACATAAGCAAGAAGAAAAAAGCCGGAAGTGGCGCTGTGGCTCAAGTGATAGAGTGCTAGCCTTGAGCTGAAGAGCTGAGGGACAGCGCCCAGGCCCAGAGTTCAGGCCCCA